AGAAAAACAGCTCTTACATTTCTCAATGGTTAGAGCAGTTGATCAGAACAATAACACCCATCTTTCAGAAAGCTTTACCATTAAATCCTCACAAATAAAGGAAAAGACAGTGTGTACACAGCTTTCAGGAAAGGTTGGACAGAAGACAAAACTAGCCCTCCGAGATCATGCACCGGGTCCTGTGTTCTAAGGAACAACCAGCTAGGGACATGGCGTCCTGCTACACCTCACACCCACGTTACCACCAGGTGACGGAGGACTGAGCGGCGTACAGCTGGGAGTACTCTATCTACGCTCACCCCACGCCTTCAGTGCTTTAGTCTGTATGTGCCCTGCAGAGAAGCCTAGCAACACTCTACAAAGCTGTACCCGAGAGGACAGCACCCAGCACAGCTGAGATCTGTGGGCCACGACTCCCAATGGTCCCGGGGAACGCACATTCGGGGCTGGGTCTCACTTACCCCGTTCCCCCATTTCAGTTGCCAACATCAATACTCGCTGCTGATTGCCAGCTCCTGCTCCTTGCAGCAGCCCAGCATGCTCTCTGCTGGTGCCAAAACACCCTACGCTACCAAACCCTGCTACCTTCTGGACTGTCCTAGAGGGGTAAGGCAAGTCCCGTATTTTGCTTCCTCTGTGCATGTACTTGTTACTCCTTTAAAAACACATACAATACAGCACATTTTTAAAGGGGCTCTGGGGAGGGAGGTAATATTCCTATTTTATACCCTATGGGATATAAAATATTGACAGCTTTAAAAACGGGATTCTCCTTACCCCTACAGGCCCTCTCCCGGCTTCAGAAAGATGCTGTGGCGGCTGTGATGCCACCGGCAGAGAGCATGCTGGGGGCTCACACAAAGCGGGAGTTGGAGATCTGCAGCAGGCCTGCGAGGTGTGGACCTAAAAAAGAAAAGAGTTTTAAGTTAACGCGCCCAACGTGCCCTCACACCTGGTTACTAGGGGCACTCAGCACACCAGCAAGCATCTGCACAGTCCGTTAGCAGATGGCGTCTGAAATCTCAGAGAATTTGTTTGGCCACTAAAGTTAACCTTTCTGCATGAATCAAAACCATTTCCTTAATTACCTCAGCGTGAACAAGCATATGACCCTTCCAGCTTTACACTTTAACCTGGATCCCGTCACAGAGCAGTATGGTGTGTGCCCCCAAAATAACCAAGTTAACATGACACAGAGCCAAAGCACATGACAGTGGCAAGCTTTGTTTATAATAAAAATGAACCCCAAGTGGACAAAGTGAGCTTTCAGAAGTGTTTCTATTGAGAGATGCTAGAGTCATAAGACATGTACTTAATAAGGAAATAGTCAAAGCATTAGGGGTTTCAAAGAAAGATCCTAGCATTTTCTCAAAGTCCTCTTTGATCTGAGAAAGTGAAAGGCAAGGGGAAAGACGAAGGCTTAGCAGCAGAGGAAAACACCATTCAGGTGAGTTCCCATTTTCTCCAGTGCCTGTAAGGTAAGTACAGTGACCAGGCACAGAGCATAAAGCTCAAGAAAGACATTTCTTTTAAGGGCAAAAGCAGTTTGGTATTTTTAAGAAACTAGAAAATTTAAAACCAGCAAATGATTAGAGAGCAACTTCTGAAAGCCAGCACAGTTCTTTTAAGTATCAAAAAAGATATCTCAGTAAGTTTGAATATGAGCCCTTTCAAACATTCTAGAGAGCAATAACATTAAAAAAAAAAAAAAGCGCGCACACACACACACACACACACACACACACACACAAACACTAACAATTCAATTTCATGAAGTTTTAAATGAACTAAAAACATCATTAAACTCAAATGCTTATATAAGATTTCTGTTCTTAAAGTTGTTTAAAAATTACAGAGAAGCAAACTTTTTAATATTAAATCTTTTTAGAGAGTCCTGTCACATTAACTCCTTTTGAGAAACAAAAAATCATTCTCTAACAACTTCCTGTAATTTAAGATTTAATGTCTATGTCTAACAAATAAAACAGAAAAACCCCAAGAAGATAAGCTAATATTGGGCATGTCTCGATCATGGTGGTTTTCTTTTCCTTCTCTACAGATCACCTCCGACAGCCCACGCTGGTCCCACGCTTTGTGTGTGGTCAGTCTGACTCCCACCGTCCGGGGCACAATACGGGATTAAATCAGTGTTAGTAGTCATAACCTCCTCCACCACACACCTCCTGCCTCCCCCTACCAACACTACAGACTCCAAACCAAAGCGTCAACTGTGCATAAGAATGTGAAGTATACTCAATACTTTTTATCATAAGCATCAAATGGAAATAAATTTGTGGCTAATCTCTTGCACTAGAAATTTAATTACTCAGATCACATTCAAATCAAGGGTTTCAAACAAAAACACCTAGTAAATAATTTCTAAGCACCCTGGCAATATTTTAAATACACAAAAATTCAGGTAATGATTAAAATATTTTAAGCATTAAAAAAGGCATCATTTCAAAGCATATCATTGTTCTTATTTAGGAATCAGAAAATTGACACAATATCTCAGTTTCCCTCATTTTATTTCAGTTCTAATAAGCTTTTTAGACTATTTGAGCTGATTCTTAACACAAACATCCACATCCAAATTACAAGTTTCCAGTTGTATGGAATTGAGTTTGAATGACAAGACTTTATAAGTATCCTTGCACTGCAGATCTCTGCAAATATCAAATTGTCTCAAACTTCCCTAAGCTTCTTTTTTAAAAATTAGAATACCTAGAGTCTTCTGCATTGAAAAAAATTTTTATATATAGAGAACAGGCTTAGTAAATAACATTTAAGATAAATATTTTATAAAAATAAATGTAATTAAGTAAAACTTTTCCAGTGGTTTCTTAAGAGTCCTAAAATCCATATAAATTAGGACAAAATGAATTATCAACTTCACAGTAACCATGAATCATTAAAACCTTAAATCCCATGAGGTCTATGACTGTCAGTCATGAGTGAAAACAGATCGATGAGAAGTTGAATAAATGGGGCCAATAAACTGCTCTTAGATTATTTATTCCCAAAGCCTCGTTTTGATTTTCACTTGAGTGAATACCACCCCAGCCATTTATAAGCTGACATTCATATCATGCAAAATGGTTGTGGTGATTCAAAAATAAGTCTCAACATGACTGCTCCAGAACTGGGGGAGTTAGCAGCCAAGATCCAATATCACCTCACCTGGCTAAGAGATTTCATCCTACTTTTGACTATATAAGGTTACATACAAATAACATCGAATCTACATGTGAAAAAGACACTTAGTACTGGAGCATCGACAGCAGGTCTTCTTTTTGTTCATCTTCATGTCATTATAACACTGAGAAGCTGTCTTAGGAACTTAATGCTTCTTTATATCAACTAGCTGTGGTAGAACTGGTTTGTTACATGTCATTCCCCTTAAATTCACAGAACCTTCAACCACGTTCAGTGAGGACTGAGTGTGGTTGTTATTGGTGGCTTACTCCAAACAGCACTGAGAAAGTTCATTAATTACAATGCTATGGAAACAACCAAGCAACCTTGGCCTTTATTTTAAACAAAGAAGGAAGAGAAAAGCCGTGGCCCTCCCTGAGCATCCTCTAGCACCATCAGTCGCACACACCTCTCCGTGGTGAGAAGTCGGGGTGGGAGAGGGCTGCCCGCTGCGCACTCACTCTGACAGTGAAAACTAAGCCAGAGAAAGGAGCAGCTCCTCTAAAGAGCCGCCCACCCCACACCTGCTATCCTCTAAGTAACACTCATTCCTCACCCAGAAAACTGAAAACATGGATAACAAACTTCACCGTTTTCACCTCCTTGTCTAACGTTACACTCCAGCAACAAAGCTGCGGCTGGGTGGTACTGATCTTGTGGGGAACGAAAAGAATGAACTCGAAAAAGACAGACTAGTTCTGCAGGCCTGACGTGAGGGACTAAGAGAAACAAAGACAGCGCTGCTTCTTTGAAATGAATCATATTAAGGCATTTTTCCTATCAGCTGGCCTCTGGGATGTTTACATGTATACTGAGCCTCATTTTTCTTTGCCAGAACTATTATAAAAAACTCAAAACATTATAGTAATACCTAAACAATGTTCTGACTTCGGCCACCCTCATGTAAACTTCCTGGAGAAAATAAAAAACCGACTTTTAAAGTATTTTAAGGATAGAATTTTATTATTTAAGTATAGAAAATGTTACACATTACAAGCTTATACAAAAAGTAAAGAAGCAGATCTCTTTGGCTTGAATAATAAACAGAAGGTTAATCTGTAGCTAATGCAAACATTGTATCAAACTATGACTAAAGTTTTTTAAAAAACTTTACCCAGTGAAGTCCTTCCACTGAAATGTTACTTCGTTCAATAGTCAATAAGTATTTATTGTGGACCTCATGTGGGCTGGGCAATATGCCAAGTGCTCAGTGCACACCAATGAGTAAAACTGGTGTGGCATCTGCCCTCACACAGCTTACACCTAAGCACACATCATCGTCATGGTCTTTGTCATTCCATGGCCCAAGCCCTGTGCCACTAACCACTGTGTAGGCTTAGCTTTTAACCAAAAAACAATCTACCTGCAAGATAGGTGCTTTCTATTCCAAATTCAGAAGTAAATAAAATTAGGTTAAGAGGATTAAGTGCCTTGCCAAAGGTCATGAAAGAGAGCAACTGATGGAACAAACTGATGTCAAGGTCAAGCTGTCCATGCACTGTTCCATCCCTAATCTCAGTCCCAGAAAAGCATCTCAAATTCTGAAGTAGCCACATTCAAATTAATGTGCACTTCCTGCCCCACCACCAGAGCAGTTTTAATAAAAGAATCGCCTAATGTTAAAATGGTACATAACGATAACTCACTGTGTGTACACATGTATGTATGCACAAAGAGTGCGTGTAAATGTGTCTCTCACACCTACCAGCATTATCTATGTAAAGATCTCTAACAAAAAATGAGAGGATATAATTACTTATCCTCAATAAGTTTCCGTTTTAAAGAAGGAATAGCTGGTTCTTTTTTCTTTTTACGGACGCTTCCCGGATGTGTGTGTCATCCTTGCCCAGGGGCCACGCTAATCTGCTCTGTACTGCTCCCATTTCATTGTGTGTGCTGCTGAAGTGAACACAATAGCAGGTTCTTACTTTTATTCCACTTCTGAGAAATTCAACTTGGGGTAGAGAGGCCATTTTAACAGTAAATGGAACCTAAGAAGAAGCTACTTTTCTGCAGTTGTGATTTGTTGTGATCAGCTCTTGGGGTGTAACCCTATCAAAGCAGGAATCGGAAAGAAATTCCAAATGCCCTCTCCCTGCTGCTCACATTTGGCAACGACACAAAGAGGGAAACTGAAATCTGGAATCACTTGGTCCCCACAGTCACAGCAGTAACGGGAGGTGCCCTCTCAGGATGACTAGTGGCCAACTGAGGACTTATCTTAGGGCTTAGACTGTCAGGGACACAAAGGATACAACACACACTCATCCAGGAAGAGCCATTACCACACACTGAGCCCTAAACAGCAAACTGGATATAACCACAATGTTCCTAATGACATAGCCCCAACTCTGAGGAATGTCTAGACCAGGTATAGATTTAATAACATTCCAGTTTTAATTAACCACGTAAGAGCCCAAATGAATCAATGTTATTTGCTCAAAATAATACTTCTAATAATTATATATCCTACCTGAAAATTCATTTCATATAACAACTGAAGAATAGATAACTATGTAACTATGTAACCAAAATCATAGTTGTTCTATTATATGAATGAAATTCATTAAGAATCCACACAAAATTGCCATGTAGACTATTAAAGGAACAGCTTTGACTACTTACCTGTGAATGAAGACTTAGGTATGAACTACTATTGCTAGACCCAGACCAAAAACTCCTGAGTATTATACTGAACGGAAATTACTAGTCTCAATGATCTCCTTATTGAGCATTCTCAGAATCCTAGATTATTTCTAGATAGCAAATTAACTCTATTATGCTAAGGCCTGGATTTCTATAAAAATTGAATTTTGTTTTTTAGAAAAAGCAAGAAAGAAATCTTTCTTTGGGGACAAAAAGTGAATGTCTTCCCCCACATCAATCCTATTCGGTGTTCTCCAAAGAGGACTGATATCCAGAAATGCCACCATTGCCTGCCTTAGAACCTACCCTCACAGAGGGAAGGAACTAGATCTCACATCCTTCAGCCCCATTATGATGCTGCACCGGGCAGAGAACACAAAGCAAGTTTTCAATAAAGGCTTGTCAACCTTTACAACCCAAAGCATTCTTAATTGCGCTCTGGGATATAAAGCTCCTTGGTGATACCGACTCATTAAAAAGCAACATTCTCAAAGAAACCAAGTCACACGGTGACCAGCAAAGCTATGGAGTGCAGCAAGAGAAAGGGTTGAGGGTGGCACGTAGGCTCTGGCAGGTGCAATTCCTGGAGATCAGCTCAAATTGGCCAAGGAGAGGCCTTCACTGGGCAGAACTCTGGCTCCGCCGGAAGCAGCATCGGGAGAGCTCAGGGAGGCGTGCACTCTCCCCCTCAGCTCTGCTACGTCCAATCCTCTGCTCTCCCTGGGTCCTGCCCCCTCACATCAGCCCTGCTTATGCCTGCCCAACCCTCTCTCATTGAGGCAATTCTTGACTCATCCCATTAGCTTTGCCCTCCCTGCCAGCTACTCCGTCTCTCAGTTCATCCTTTCAAGCCAGCCCACAAAGATCACAGATTGCCATTCCACATCACTATTCTCTCAAACAGCTAAAGATTTTGCCAACTGATTTAACATTTAGTTCAGAAACCTAAGGTGTAAAGCTGCCTTATCTGATGATCCCTCTTTCTTCCTGCTTATTCTAAGCATACACTATCCATATTCAACTTGACCTCTCCTGCTCTCGTGCCTCTCATATTCCACAGATACTTTTGCCACTGTAGTCAATAAACCCAGGTCTCCCCATCTGTAAATAAGCCCATCTAGAACACTTCCTAAGAGAATAAAAGCTTCCTAATAGAATACACAATTCCCTTCCCTTGAAAATGCTACTTCCAAAACCCTCAATTCTGTTAGAAACTCAATTTTTTGTAACACAGCTTTCACCTACTCCTCTGAAAGGGCAGGTTCTAAATATACCTAGCACTGTAGGACAGAGAGGCCTTATGGATGTGTTTTGATGGGTAAGTGTTAATAAAATGGGAGCCACTGATCCCATCCCCATATAACCTGTCACCCCAATAGGGACATGTCTGAGTGAAAAGGGGCACTGTTTGATAGTTTACCAGGACAACAGATGTAAACCTGGTCAACAGAAGCAGCTGTGTTTCATATCATGGACTCAGAATCTGTGGGAAAACAATCAGGGCATAAAATCCAAAGACCCTTCTTACCCAGGATCCTCAGTTCAATACACTGCATCGTGCTAGTGACAGGTGGTAGCTGTCTAAGTCCACTTCTCAACTCATTAGCCTCTGACACGCTTAACACTGTGCTCTTAGCTAAGGGCATGCGCCTAATTCTTTTTAGAGTACCCAAACATACCTACATTCAAACTCACAGTGGTAAAAGTATTAATTCTAACCAGTGGTGTAAACAAAGAAACACATTTTAGTTACACCCACAAACAAATAGAGATAAAATAACCAACAATATTCCAAAGCTATTGGCTTTTGTTTTCCATCGCTCCACTTGTCACGCATGGTATTTCCTGTGGGCAAAACCAACTCCAATTTCTTTTGTTTAAAATCTTGCAGAGGAAAAATAAAGCATATGTCCTTCTGTTCATCCTTTCCTCTTATAGCTTGGGTAAGCTGAAGAAGAAAAAAACAACAACCTATAATTATTCTCCTCTATTGGGTTACCTTTTTATAAATAGTACTGAAAAAGGAAAGAAGAAAGCGGATGTCCAGACAATAACTACATTTCTTTCAGTAGTAAATATTTCAATACTACTGTTATTTTTACATAACTATGATGTGTGCTGAATACAGAACTAAATAACAAACAAACAAAAAAACCGTAAGGCATAGCAGTGTGTGATTTAGAAAAAGGTACCTAACATACTGCACCCTACCCTCTTCCCACATTGCTTGTGCACACAGCGTTAATGTGTTGTACTAGACCAATGCTGACAGCAAAAGCTTCAGCTTTTATTGCTGTTAATACCCTGAGCAATTACTATAACTCAGCAGGAACCTCCGCCCTGGACTATCACATTATAATCAGCATTTCATAAGCAACGCTGTTCAAACATGAAGGCACCGGCTAACGTGCACACACTGTACAAAGGTGCTTCGGTTCTAATAGGTAAGAGAAAAACCTCAGCAATTTCATTTCACAGCTGCATCTTTTCCGTGGCACACTGCTATTGTGTTGGGTGAACATCACACACAGACAGTGGCCAGGAAAAGGGCAGCAGCCGCAGCCACTAGCAGACAAAACTCCAGGAAGCAAGGCTCCCACCCAGATTCCAATGCCAGTGCAGCTTCTGTAGAAACCACATGGAAGGAAACATGTAACAAATAACAAAGACTCTAAAATGATAAAACTTTGCGTTGACATAAAATCTGAATAAAAAGCATTTGATTTTTGCAATATTAAACTGCAAAGCCATCTTGCAAAACAAGCAAGGAAGTTGAAAGCAGTTTACCAAGTGTAATCCTCAGAAGTAAATAGCACATTTGACTTTCTTTTGTAACAGTAAGCATGTACTGCACAAGCAGTAATTTTTTAATAAAGAAAAATAAATGGCATGCACTTGTTAACTAGATTGGAATATACTAACTAGATATTTGAGGCCATTAGAAACAAAGAAGATGCAGAGTTAAAGATCTCTTCAGACTACTGCATTACTTTTCCTTAGACTGAAATATCACATACAATGAATTGTCAAACGTTTCAAAGGGTTTCTGAAATAAGGACAGTCACAGACACTGATAAAATCTCTACAAAACAGGATTAGGATTTCTCTACACCTAAAACTAGAAAGTGGTCACAACCCTTCTGGTACAGGGATCCCTTTTTAAGACCTAAATGTTTCAAAAGATCCCCAAGTATCAGTACTTCAGTAGTATTTCACTTATCAATTGCTTTTTTTGAGGAAAATACCTAACATACAGGGATTCTTCAGTGCATATTATCATTAAATAAGTAAATTTAAAAACCACAGCAGTATATTAATACATTGGAAAGTAGTTGCACAGGTGTGTGAGGTGCATTTATTTAAGACTGAGAATGTTCGCTTTCACACCTTTGCAAAATCTCTACAGATATCCAGGGATCTAAAACCCCTAGTGTGGGGACCACTGGTCGGAAACAGAGATCATAGCAGGCAACATCAATACTCATGGACCTAGGGAAAGTTTTTAATGAGAAAGTACTATAGCTATACCACCCCTGAGCCAGACTTCCAGCCCCCACTACTGGGGGACCCCAAAAAAGATTCAAGAACACTCCATACTCACTAAAATATCTAAGTAAATTAATTATGGTCACCACCAAAACCAGACTCTGGCCAATTTACATTCTTTTCCAACCATCAAATCCCAAATTTACTTTGCTTCAGGAGCTTCCCAATGGCTGAGAAGAAACAAACTACTTCAGAAACTCAAAGGAATATCGGAAATTTATGTCAAAACACCTATGGAAGGAAGAAACTTTACACACATTATTTACAATATGAGCTTTGAAAATCTAAGTAGGAAGATAAAGCTGGTGGCTGCCTTATGTGAGTGCTACAGCCACCAGGGAGTGTAAGCACTCAGAAGGTAAACTGGTTATCAAGTCAATACGAGAGACACGCAATCATGAGACAGCCAAAGGAACTGGAAAAGGAGAAGGTCCAGAGGAGAATCAGGAGCACGTGAGAAAAATGCTTACCAGTTTGAAGTCTTGAATGCTACAGATGAAATACGGTGTGTTTGGTCTCCGACTCTCGATGTACACACAGTCTTTAAAAGAAAAAGAAAAATTTAAAACAATGGCATTTACCTTTAAGGGAACAAAGACAGGGCTCATAAAGCCACTGCATACATAAATAAATGACAAAGCACATACATTTTAGAGAAAATTTTTTCCTCAAAGGTAATATTAAATTACTAATAATTTTAAGCTAAAGGGAAACAGCCCT